AAAAAAAAAAAACTAATCTATATATCTGTATCTATTAGGCCTTGAACTATTAAGTCCATTAAGTAAAACAAAAGCAACACCTTAGTGAAATTACTAAAAGGTAATAATAATAATAATAATAATAATAATAATACAAAAGTAGACATACAGTTGCAGTTGACTTGCTATAGTAAATCTTTTCAGCTTTCATAAGACCTAATCCATGTTCAGCACTAATACTCCCATGCTGCTTTGACGTCCATTCATACACAAATGGTTTAGTTTCAGCCAAAATCTGTATTTTTTTTATTGTAACAAATAGAAAAAAATTTGATTTTATATTTTTGAAAAACAAAATAAAAAATCTTACAACATCATCATACTGTGGAGCCGACACATTCAAATGAAGGTTTCCATCTCCAAGGTGACCATATCCCACTACATTTGCTTTACCACCTGTTTTTCTTTTTTAAAACCAAAATTAGCAAATCATAACAAACTGAAATAATTTTCATCAAAAAAAAGTTTAACTTTTAACTAAAAAGTATCCTCATTTCTTCAACAAGATCATACATTTTCTTAACTGGAATTGACAGATCATATTTATATACAACTCCAGCTTTCTGCAATGCTTCTGGAATTCCCTCACGAATTTGCCCAAATGATGATGCTTGATTCAAATCCTGTGATATGGCTCCATCACTTACTAAACCACTTTTGATTGCATCCACAAGAAAACCCTCAACATTCTCTCTACAAAAATCAGATAGATATTATATATAATTATTATTATATATAAATATATAAATAGGGAAAGTAAAATAGAAAAAATTTAGTTACTTGTCATTAGATTCATTGCTTCTGGTTGTCTCGATAAGAACATAGAAGTTGTAAATTGAAGATGCTAATGGATTTTGGACACTGTCTAAATGATCAACAAACTCAAATGCATATAATATTTCACATAGTCTAGCTTGGAATAGAAGTTTCTAATACAAACAAAAAAAAGAACATAAGATTTTTTTTCAAAAAGCAAAGTGGACAAAAAGAAAAACAATATTTCACCTGGCAACTGATATAATTTTGACAGCAGGTCCTGCTTTAGATTTAGGAGAAAACACCGGCTTTCGAACCTTTTTTCATGATTAACCTTGACCCTTTATGCAATTCCCACAGGAAAATTATGAGAATAAGAGGATTTGAGGCCGATTCCCCTTTTATTTCTATTTTTATTTTAATTTTCGAGTCATACTCTATCTTGGCACCATCATCAACCCATTCCAACATTTATTGAATTCATATTTTTGATTAGGATCAGTTATATGGTGCAAAACAATATCCATTTCATTTGCTAAATTGATTTTCGAATTGCTAGGATAAAGAGGAGGAAAGTTAATTAAATAAAGGTTTAGCAACCTTACCTTGAACAATCGTTTCAGGGGATTGAATCAGCGAGTTTAACTTTTCCAATTTCAATTCACGCTTCGAAGGCGAAGAACAACAATCCACTTCAGTTGCTATCGCACCATCAAACGAACGAGGATGTAGTTCTCCAAGACAAACCCTCAATGGAGTTTCAATTTTGTGAGAGAGAGAGAGAGAGGGAGAGATGGAGAGAGAGAGAGAGAGAGAGAGATAGAGAGAAAGACATAGCCATAAGTGTGTGTTCTTGAAAAAAGCCCTAGAATCGTCCCTTCAATTTCATGTTTTCAGATTCTTTATGCTGATCAGGGCGGCATTGGTTGGCGAGACGGTGGTTCTCATGGAGAAATTTTATTTCGAGAATGGTAGGGTTGAACAAACTATCACACACTACCTGACTTGTAATTAATTAAATACAACAAATCGAACCCTAAGGTGCAATAGAATCGAAGTAAACTCGTTCAAAAAATCGAACTGGGAAAATTATGGTTCAAAAATCAAACCTGTGATGGAAATCAAAAATCTTACCTGTGATGGAATCGTCAGCTGGAGTGGAGTCGACGATTGTGTCTATGTCGAAGATGAAAGTATGGCAGGAGATGGGTGTCGTCGCGTCGTCTGGTCTGGTTCGCATATGGGGGAGTGGAAGAAAGGGAGGGGTTTTAGAGCCTTTTTCTTGTTTTTGTTTTCCGGATACAATGAGTCTAGACTCGGTACGAGTCATACAGGAAGGGTGAAGAAATGAAGAGGGAGTGGTTGAGCTTGAGGTCTTTCGTAAAAACTTTGACATCTTGCCACAAGTTTGGATTCTTTGGAAGGTGACACGGATCTGGACCGAATCCCAGATAGAGACCCAATTTCTGAAACTGTGTCACTGCAACCTCTCCGGGAACATCCTGACTTTTGGTCAGAAGAGATTTGCGAATTGTGTCAATGATACTATCCTTGATTGTCTTCTTCTTTGCTTCTTAAATCGTAATAACAATCTCTATGAAATCGCAGGTTGGGTTTTAGGTTAGAGAGAGAGAGAGAGAAGAAGACGAAGACCCTAGGCTTCTTTCTTGCTAATTGGAAGAGGAGCGGGTTTTAATTTTTCACATGGAATAGGCGGGGTTTTAATTTTTGGGGATTTCATTTCCCGCTGAAAAGGCGTGTTTCATTAAAAAAATATAAAGCGACACACTTACATGGAATAGGCGTCCTCCGTATTTCTTTTTTTTTCTTTTCTGACACAAATTTTGGGGCACGCACAAATGCGTGTCCTCTATCCTTCAAATTTTATAAGAGATGACATTATTTTTAGGTCACACGTTTTTGCGTATCGTAAATCACTACATGTCATTGTTTGCGCGTCATTAAAGGGTTGTTTTCTAGTAGTGGGCTATCCACAGAAGTCCTTTGGATATCTCTTCTATAGACCAAGTGACAATGTTGTCTTTGTTGCTAGGAGAGGAGTCTTTCGTGAGAGAGAGCTCATATGCCAAGAGGACAGTGGGAGGTAAATTGATCTTCAAGAGCTTCAAGAGTCAAGTGATGAAGGAACCTCTAACACTAGCGATCAACCTGAGGAGGAAACTCCTGTTGAACCAGTTGACGAGTCCCTACCTCTTAGACGTTCCAGTAGAGTTAGCCATCCACCTGAGTTTTATGGATTCCATATTACTACTGAGGGGGATACATTTATTAGTGATAGTACACTAGTAAATTTAGACGAGCCTAATAGCTACAAGGAAGCCATGGTAGGCCCAGAGTCTGTGAAATGGAAAGAGGCTATGGACAACGAGATTCAGTCCATGTATGAAAATAAAGTTTGGAACTTGGTTGACAATGTACCAGGTCATAAGATAGTTGGGTGCAAGTGGATCTTCAAGAAGAAGACCGACATGGATGGGAAAGTGCACACAAGGCACGATTGGTTGCGAAGGGCTTTACTCAAACTCCTGGAGTTGACTATGATGAGACCTTCTCACCAGTTGCGAAGCTAAAGTCTATTAGGGTGATGCTAGCCATAGCTGCGTTTCATGACTATGAAATATGGCAGATGGATGTCAAAACCGCTTTTCTTAACAGGAAGTTGGCTGAGGATGTTTACATGAGTCAGCCAGAGGGTTTTGTCGCTGCGAAGCATCCCAATAGAGTGTGCAAGCTTGAGAAATCCATTTATTGATTGAAACAAGCATCTCGTAGATGGAATCTTTGCTTCGATGAGAAAGTCAAAGAGTTTGGCTTTGCGAGGAGTGAGGATGAGTCCTGAGTATATGTCAAAGCTAGTGGGAGTATAGTGAGCTTCCTCATACTGTATGTAGACGACATACTACTCATAGGAAACGACATCCCAACCTTGCAGGAGGTTAAGTCCTGGCTTGGGAAGTGTTTCGCTATGAACGACCTCGGAGAAGCTGCCTATATCCTAGGGATAAGGATAGTGAGAAACAGGAGTAAGAGACTAATTGGACTTAGTCAGAGTACTTACTTGGATAAAGTGTTGAAACGTTTCAGCATGTAGAATTCCAAGAAGGGGGAGTTACCGATCCAAAGCATTACCAAACTGAGTAAGACTCAGAGTCCGAGTACAGAGGTTGAGATAGTAGAGATGAGCCGAGTCCCTTACGCTTCCGCAGTCGGCTCCATCATGTATGCTATGACTTGTACTCGCCCTGATGCGGCCTTCGCTTTGAGCATGGTCAGCAGATATCAAGGGAACCCTAGTAGGGCCCATTGGACCGCAGTCAAGAATATACTGAAGTACCTACGAAGGACCAAAGAATGGTTTCTAGTCCTCGGTGGGAGTGATGACTTGAGAGTATAAGGGTATAGTGACGCTAGTTTCCAGACTGATCGGGATAACTACCGATCGCAGTCAGGCTGGGTCTTTACTCACAATGGAGGAGCAGTGACTTGGAAGAGTTCCAAGCAGGAAACGGTGGCTGATTCAACGTGCGAATCAGAGTACATAGCAGCGAGCGAAGCGTCAAAGGAGGCGATATGGCTAAAGAACTTCATCGGAGACCTTGGAGTTGTACCTGCCATAAAGGAGCCTATGGAGATTTTATGCGATATCGAAGGTGCGGTTGCCTTGACCAAGGAACCGAGGGATCATGGCAGATCCAGACATATCGACAAGAAATTCCATTTTATCAGACATCGTGTGGAAGAGGGACTCCTCGTTGTGAAGAGGGTATCGTCGGAGGATAACCCAACAGATCACTTTACGAAGGGACTGAGTAGGGTTAAGCACTTGCAGCACACTAGGCGCATCAGGCTGAAGGACGATATTAGTTTTTGTGATTAGATAGGTTTTAGAAACTTGTAATAGATAAATTGTAATCGACATTTGATGATTAAATAGAGGTGTATTATTTATGATTAAAGTTACTATCTTGTGTTGATTAATTACTATTGTTTCAGTTTGCATGTTTTGACTTCCTAAATAATAAGATTATTCAAAACCTCCACAGTCGATCATACATTGGAAGTAGGTATGAATGAAGACTGTCATGAATTGGCTTGTAGATTTTCTAAGGTGTTAGACATAGAAAAAGTTTGTTGCAACGTTCATGAGTGCTTATGAAATAAGATTTGAGCATTGGATTAAACCCACGCTTACCTGAATCACTTCATGGAATTAATCACGAGTGATTGTAAGACGATAATATCATATAGTCTTTAAACCGAGAGATATGAGTTGTTTTTTGCGAGTTGGTTGTGCATTGATAATGCGTAAACGCATCAGTAACTTGATGTTATAAAACGCATTGTTGTGTATGATTTGATGAGCAAATAGTACAAGCATATGAGTCAAAGTTTATCTGTTCCTCCTACCTCACAAGGGTAAGAGCGATATCTTGGGCCCCTCGCTGATTTGGTTTGACTTATGTGTCGGGCCCGGTCAGGACAAAGTTGATGTGTTCAACTAAGTTCTATGTCAAACAAATCAGAGATCGAGAAACTAACTGCTGGATAATAAGTATGAGCATGTTCCATGTGATTGTCCACATGATATCTTGAGAACGGAGGACTATACGATCCCTTATCTAAAGGATATGTCATTTGATTGGGTCAAGTTGACAAAGGCTTTTGAGAGCTACGATTGCTGATCGGTTTCTAAAGTCATATTTGCAAATATAGTTATTCGACTTGTCCAAGTGGGAGACTGGTGGATTAGGTGTCTAAGCCCATAACTATATTTGGTATGTACTTGACCCGATAGTAGCATAGTCCTTTTGGGTTGCCTTCACCAAAGCAACTTGACAGGATGATTAGTAGAGAGAGAGGATAATATGGTTTATTAATATATTATAAGAATAATATATTAAAGGGAAAAATAATATTAGTTAATTAATATGTTGGTCTAGATTTAATTTGGAATTAATTTGGTGATCAAAAGATATTATTTGAACTTAGGGGACTGGATTGCAATTATTAGATAATTGAGTTTTAGGCTGTGAAACCCTAAGGATTAAGGGGGGGGGGGAATTAGAGTGGAAGCCCATCTAATTTTCGTCCAAGGCCTTTATTCTGGAAGGTTCTTTGGACTGCTTAAGGTCTAAGCTATCCAACTAGGGTTTTGACTGAAACCCTAGCAGCTCAAGTATATAAGGACCCCTAGGGATACAGAAATTGGACACTTGAAACCCTAAGAAGTCTCGGAGCCGATTTTGTGCCTCTCATCCCCTCTCTTCAAGATCATTCTTGCCTTCATGTTTATAAGCCATTAGAGGCATCGCATTTGTGGTGCTAGGTTCTCGCAAGCTTTGAAGATTTTCACTACAATCAAAGACGTAACATTCTTACTTGTTTATTTATGTAGATCTCAAATTTTGTAGTATGCTAGATTAGGGTTTACAAGCTTTGGATGAATTGCATGTACAATAGAGAAACCTAGATCCAAAGCTTTAGGGTTTTGCATGCGCACTTAGGATTGTTTCTTTCTGTAAAACCCATCAGTTGTGGGACTAGATCTAAGTGTTGGATAAAAGGGCTTAAGAGATTAAGCACTTAATGGAAAAGTGCCTTTTGGCCGAGTACATTGGGTGTAGCATTGGGTACGCTCCGCATACTCGTAAGGAGTCCCGTCCCTGGATAGTAAGTATGCCTTGCGTATGAGCTAAGTACACTGGGCTTACTTAGCCTGAATTTGACTTGTTGACTTTGACTTCTGTTGACTGTTGACGTTTTGACAAAGTTTGAACTTAGGACAAACTTAAGGGTTTTGGGTTATTAATTAAGATTTCATCTGGTTCTGGTGTTAGTGGATTCGCGGGTGCAAGCAGTGTAGAAAAGGGATCATATCATAGTGTTTTAGAGTTCTTCGATTCAGGTGAGTTTTCTCCTGGTGCTCATGAGTCGAAGGCACCAATGCCGGATCACTAAAGTGTGTATATAGGATGCTAGTTGTCTTTGTGAATCTTCCATGTTTGTATGAGCCTGTGTGGTAGAATAGGGTTATTTGTGATGACTAGTTGGGTATAGCTGTTATTATTATGATATGTGATATTGAGTACTGAGACCGCTGATAGTCTCCATGGTTGTTGATAACCCACTGAGCATGATGTTTGCCCACTGGGACTACTGATAGTCCCCACGGTTGCTAATAACCCATAGCTATTTATTTGTGTTTTGTCGTGTGTGGTATTTTGCGGAACTTACTAAGCTTTATGCTTACAATTTGTGGTTGAATGTTTCAGGTTTTCTTATATTAAAAGAGGGGCACGACTTGATTGCATCACATCAATGGGGGACTTATGTACTTGATAACTTTTAATGATACTCTGATAAAAGTTTTAAGAT